ATTTCAATCTAAGTACAACTTAAACCTGAGTTCCTACTCACTTCCCCTCAATCACAGCAGTGATACATAAAACAATTTGACTAATGATTTGATGAAGACACTCTTCAAAAACATACACTTGATTAAGCTTCACAACTTTTTAATCAAGTAACACAACCACTCTTGCTTCACAGCTTTGAGTGATACACAACTTAACTTGACTCTGCTTCACAGCTTTAGTCAAGAGACATACAAACACTCTTGCTTCAAAGCTTTGAGTGCTACACAACCCTTACAATTAAAAACCTATTCCAAGTCACTTATCACAATGATAATTGCTTGGAGTACAATAATTAAACCTATACAGTTTACAAATGATCTTCTGACCAAAAAGGGATTCCTTGCAAAACAGCAGCTCTGTTGAATATATAGCAGTTGCAACTTCAGTTAGGGTTTCCACAAAAACCTAGGGTTAATTCCGTTTGACCTTAAGACTAGGTCACAGGAGTTTATTAACCAGGTTAGGGTTGAGCTAGGTTAACCCTCAGAAAACGCAGGATTCTGTTCTGGAAAGACTGAGTTATTTTCCTGAAAAAACTCAGAATTAACCAACCTGCAAACCTGTTAGTTCAGGACAGGATGTCTTAACATCTGTTATGACATCTGAGGAACCTGTCTACTGATTTAGGAAAATTTGATCATTTTGCAAAATGCTCAGATACACACTTATAAACATCAGTACCTGAATGACAATATTTTTCTGCAAAGGTACCTAATGAATCAGTACAAGCTAAACTAGAATGTTATGACATCAGTCATGACATTCACACATACACTTGGGTTTTACCAAAAATGCAAGCCAATACCTAAACAACTACAAAACTCATCATTAGTGCTTACATGTGAGCTTCCTTGATATCAAACAAATGTTTTGCAGTTAGAAAAAGTTTATCATGAGAATGAAAATTCTAATGCAACAGTTATGTAAGTCTTGAAGATTTTGAAAGATATCGCACAAATTTTGCGAGCTAAAGCACCATTTATTTTTGTATAGGAAAAACATATGATACCAACATAACTATTTAGAACATTCATGGGAGTCAGGAACACTATCTCATTGAAGTATGCTTTCAAAATAACCTTGCTTCAATTAGGACTTTTGAAGGTTGTAACGTGGCCTGGTTCATGGTTTTTAGAAAAAAGATTTTTAAGGCTCAAAATATTTGGTGCCTACCCACTTCATGATGTTCTCCAATCCTATGTTCAGTTAATTCAACATGAGCGTTCATCTTTCAAAAGGATTTTGTGACGGTCAAAGAAACGACGAGGCTTTCGGAGTAGAAACCGCCCTCATGTCTTCGTGTTTGTAGTCACCAATTTGTTCTTTGCTGAGGACTTTTCTTTGTAGTCCTTTCTTTGCAATTTTTATTTTCCCTAACTTTTGCCTGAACTAATTCTTTTGAATTGATAGTCCAGCGGGATGCCTTAATTTTGCCTAAGTCACACATTTTCATTTTTTTTTGACTTAGCAGGCTTTTCTTTTTCTTGATTTTTGACTTTTTGAACAAAATGTGTGACATTAGCTTGTCTTTGCTTGTTGAGAAGATTGTGATTGCCTCGTTTCTTGATGAATGAGGGATAACATTATGATTCCACATCTTCTGGCTTCATTATACATGAAGGATAGCCCTCGTAGTTTCTCTTCAAAAACATCTTCCTTATGAATTTTGAACACTCAGTCAGATTAACTAAAAACTACCCTGCCCCAGGTTAAAATTCAAGGTTTTTTCGTATAGAAAAGAAACTTCTGCTTCAAAGGCTCAAAAGGGGTTAACAAGGGATTATCTTCCTTATATCTCCGGTGTTTAGGGATTTGAAACAATGCCTGTACATCATCAACAAGATTTTATCCAAAAGCAAACAACCAGAGATTTTGTGTTCTTTAGATCATCATCCTCCCTTCAATCTCTGCCTAGGCAAGAGAATGGGCAACAAGTTGGTATCATAATGCAAAAAGAAATTTAAAATTTGAAAACAAATATGAGTGAAACGAATGAATTTCTTCAAGACAAACATACTCATTGTATTAAGATAATCATTCAGATGCAAACAAGTTCTTACATGCAAACAATGTTTTGGATAAACAAGAAAAGTTACAAAAATCAGAAATAAGTTAATAATCTGGGAAGGCTTTCCATCTGGACTTGAATCACCGAAAACATCCTTCAAAACTCAAAGTGACCATCAATCGTGTTTACTCTTCGGCACGTGCTTGATTTGAACTTCAAAACCAACGTCCTTGAATGACAAGATACCACTTCTGACCAACTTCTGAACCTCGATCTTCAAAGCAAAGCAACCCTCCAAGTCATGCCCAGGAGCACCTTGACGAAAGGTACATGTCAAATAAGCTTTGTAGTACCAATGTATCTTCTTAGGAACCTTCGGTGGAGGTCGGGTCTGAACCAAATTCCTCTGCATCAGGATAGGGAACAACTCTGTATAGGTAATTGGAATTGGATCAAACTGGGTTTTCCTTTGATTAGGAACTTGCTGATTCTGTTGATGAATAAGAGAAACGTGATGATTCTGACGATGATTATTTTTTACTATGGTTCTCTTCTTGGAAAATTTATTATCAAACTTCTTCACACCATTAGCTAAGCTACCATCTTCATATAAACATCCCTTTTCGACATCTTCTTCTAGACGCACTCCCACATTCACCTTGTCAGGAAAGTCATTAGGTGCATTAACCATCACCTTCTCATGAGAGAATGATTTTAGAGTTTCGGTGAAGACTTTTATCATCGCTTCCTCCATCCTAGAAGGATTGACTTGGGCGGTAACCAAAATTTCAACCAAACCAGTTAAGTGCTCCATACTAGCTTTCAAAATAGTCATCTCTCTACGGAGTTCAGAAACCTCTTGCTTGATATTCTCCATTGTTCTCTTAGCGCGAGTGTTGTACTGGTGAGACCAAGGGAAAAATAAGACTTGGAAAAAGACTTTTGAAATTGAAACAAAAAAAATGTAGAATTGTGTATGATATGAAAAAGAGAGTTTTTATTTGATTTTCAAGGAACTCAAGATATTAAGTTGTAAACATCAAAGTATGAAGATAGAAGATGAATTTTGAATTGGATCAAAGCGTTGATCAAGTTATCATCAAGATCAATCATCCATTTTGGTGGATTAGGGTTTTCGCCCTATCAACACCCAAGATCCATTGAGCTTGACGAAACTTGTGATGTTTACAAAGAAAGACCTCCAAATTCCTTCAAAGTCAAGTGAAAAGGGTTTTATGGATGCATGGATGCATGGCTATGCAACAACCACAAGCAAGGTCACAAATAAAGTCGAAAGGTTCAACGTCACGAGCGTGGAGTCAAGGTAAGGAACACCCCCAAGGTATGTACTAACGGTTTAATCACACCTGTAGAACAAGGTTCTAAGAGTTCCCGGAGTCTACATTCCTCCTTCGGATATTACCAACGTCTTGATTACTCAATAATCAGCAATATTTTCAAGAGAAACTCATCCGAGCGTAGCATCGCGTAACAATTACTTCCGGATTACTCCGTTATAATCTCCGCGCTACACCTAAAAGGCCAAGATGGGTTAGGGTTCTACGGTTCCCAGCTTCTCTGGCTCCCAGGTCGAAAATAATAATGTCTTCCCGATTACTCGGTAAACAAATATTACGTTCAAAAGGGCCTTCCACTGAGTGGGGGATCTCATGCCTCCTTCTTCGGGATTACTCCCTCAAAGTTAACATGACTATACCGCCTGTCCTATTCCTAAGTGTAACTTAGTCTGGGTATAGGACTTGTCCTTTGTAAATATTATCAACACCCAAATAATCACAATATATCACATATAATCAAACAAACAAGTAACAACAAAAACAGATATTACAAATTAGGCTTAACCCACTTAGGGATGGACCAGCAAGAGGTCAATCTGTCCCCAGCAGAGTCGCCAATTCTGTAGCGGTGAAAATCAGAGATCAAGCTATTAATTAACTTGACTCACAAAAAGCAAGAGTCGCCACCGCGCTTTATTATTTCCAAGGGAAAAGGGAAAAGAGCGAAATAAAACCCTAAAATATGCAATGTAAAATAATACTTAAAAGTAATAAAAATACAATGCGTTTTTGAAAGAGATTGAGAGTTCGGGGGTTGGTTATGCAATGGGAAGGTATTAGCACCCAATGCATCTGCGGTACTCCGCAGGAACCTTTTGAAATATCTGTTTTTTGGTTTAAAATTGTTTGTTTGATTAAAATGATTCGTTTGGCTAAAGATGAGTGCGGATGAGATTTTGAAGAGACAACAACCTAATGTCGAAGTTTTGACTTAAAAGGTGTGAGTTTAAAAATTGAATCTTTTGGGAAAATTATCTCAGGTTTAACAAAACAGTAAACAAACAAAAGATGAATGAGGTTATTCACACGATTGGATGAGATGTGTTTGATGACGTGAAGTCAACAAAATTCAAATCTTTTCCTTGGAGCTTAAAAAAACAAACAATAAAGTAAGCCATAAAAATTAAAATGAACTAAACTGAAAATACCACAAAACTTATTAACATGTAAAATGAAAATCATAAAGGAATAAATATAACCAAAATTGATGGCAAAGCGAATAATAATAAATACGAAATGATGGAGGAATAATTAAACATAAAGAGATATAAAATTAACTCTAAGCTACGGTCGAAAATTCTAAGGTTATTAAGTTAAATCTAAATTAAAATTCTAAAATTTGCTGACTAAACGAAATGAAAATTATAAAATTACTAACTAAGCTAAATAAAATTCTAAATTTACTAACTAAGCTTAATAAAAAATTATAAATTTACTAACTAAGCTTAATAAAAAATTCTAAACTTACCAACTAATTCTAAAGAAAAATATTAAGTTGACTCCAAACTAAACTAAATAAAACAAAATGTTTAATTTAAGAACAAAATTATATGATTAATTAAAACTAACTAAATAAATGAAATATAGCTCACCCTCAAGCAAAGTCCTGATATACTGGATTCAACTCAAGTTGCTCTGCCATTTTCTCTAAGACATCTTTCAAAAGTTTTGCTGGCTCTTCTTTCTCTAATTCCACTGCACCTTTTTCTTTAGCTACATCAGCAAAAAACACAATCATAAAAAGATCAGCTGCATCGCCACCATCATATAGTGGTAAACCCAATTCTGTAGTGTTTTTCTCAAGGAAGCTCCTTATTATTTCTGTGCTTCCTAGACCATCCTTTGCATTGAGTTTTTCTTGTGATGCCTTCTCTATAAAGCTGTTTAACTCCTTTTCATTGGCCAATAGCTGTCTTATTTTAGAGCCATTTATGATTGGGATATTCTGGACGAAAACAAAATTCTTTTTGGAAAGTTCCACTTCAAGATCTTGTAATACAAACTGCAGAAGCTGTGCAAATTGTTCCTGGCCCAGTTCTTCTTCTCCATCCGCTCCATGTTTACTCAACAAATCGTTTAACTGAGGATATTCTGAGAAAGGAGGAACTCCCATGTCAACTCCCATCTGAACAAGAGCATTTCGAATCTCACTCTTGATGATTTTCCCCTTATCTTCAACATTCAATTCAGTGAACGGATTTTCCGCTAACATAGCAAAATCATCCTCGTCCTCAAACAACAAACGAAGAGTACTTCCATCCAAGACTGATACAACAAGAGGACTACCTTTGAGTTCATCGGCGATGGCGGCGATGTACTGATTGAGGAATTGAGAAGCCTGTAAAGGCTGATACTCAGTCTCAGGTGAAAAGAAAGAATCATCGGAGATGGCGGCGATACTACGGAGGCGATGGAGTGCAGAGGCTTTGAGAGAAAATTTGGATGGTGGCAGTATGGAGGTGTTTTGGAAGAGAGGAAGTGAATTTGTTTACAGTAATTGAAGAGAGGAAGGATTATGCCAAAGAAGAGAGGGGGAGGTAATTACTGTGAGTTGCTTTTTTTGCTTTTTTTTGTGTCTCCTCCTGTGGAGCATCTGCATGCTTTCCGTCCAGAAACTGCCCCAAGTGATGCAAGTTAGCCCTTGCAACAAACTTGATCACCACTTTGTATTCTTTTTCCCTCTTGGGGCCATTAATTCCATCCTCTTCTTCTATAAGCTTAATCGTAAACTCTCTCCATGAAAAGGGAAGAACCCCTGCTGTGTAGAGACTTTTCCTACCATCATATGCTGGAAGCCTCGTGCCAAGGTCAGATTCTTTATACAGCCTCACAAGTTCTGCTATTATGGATCTGTTAACTGCTTTGGAAGACACTTCCGGTGTAATAGTTACATCATACTGATTCAAGTCCTTGTCTGGTAATTCTGCAAAGAAGTGATTAACTTTAACAATGCATTTTGTACCAACTTGTCCATAACCTGGCCTTTGAGCAAAAGTCAAAGACTTGCTTGAAGTAGGAAAACTCATCTCTACATCACTAGAGACAACGTTTCTATTTTGAACAACATGACCATTTTCATTACTTTTCACAGCAGTACAAGGCCTACAACTTGGTCTCATCAAAACATCAACTTGATCAGATTTTCTCCCATTTCTACTCCTCCTTCCTCCACCACTCTTTCCTTGAGGTGGTGGTGAAGTTTGGTTACGTTGCTCCTGTGACAACAATGGTGGACCTTTACCATTTTGAACAGCTTTAGTAACCTTCTTAGCCTGATTCATAGTGTTTGGTAAATGAGGTTTGATCACAAGATGTTGTTCTGAACTCTCTTTCATTTGCCTCAAAGGCATGTTGAATTTTTGCTGAGTTCTTGCAGGAATATATATATATATATATATATATATATATATATATATATATATATATATATATATATATATATATATATATATATATATATATATATAGAGAGAGAGAGAGAGAGAGAGAGAGAGAGAGAGAGAGAGAGAGAGAGAGAGAGAGAGATAGTGATATACTTTTCACGTTTCAGCAAATAACCAGTTTTTCACGTTTAGTTTTTTCCTATAACCTTATGCTTATATGTAGCTATGTAACTAGGGAAGACATGTAAAAGCAATGAGAGAGTGAAAATGGAAGATGGGTTGTAAGCAAAGAAAGAAAAATGGAGTGTTTTTGAAGGATTTAGAGAGAAGGGAGAAGGGTGAAAAGAATAATATTAAAAAAAAAGTGGAAGATCAGAAAGGAAGATGATGATGTTGATGAATCTTATACACGCATGCAAAAGAGCTTTTGGTGTTTTCTTTATCACGTGTAAAAGGCTTTGCCTCTGTCCCTCACTTTGCTTTTTTGATGAGTTGCTCCCTATGGTGTTTGGTTTTTGGAGTAACTCTTATATTTATGCAAAAACAAAAGAACAAGGAAAATAAAATGGAAATTGAAAATTTATTATGAGAGAGAAAGAGAGAAAGAGAGAGAGCTACTGTAAGTTTTTTTGTTTTTTTGTATCAATCCACCACTTTTGCTAACAACCAATGAGAGCATAGTATAGTGTAATCAATATATTTTTGTGCAAAAACGCCCCTGAATGACAAAAATAAAATAAAACCTGAAAGTATAAAAAATAACTCAATTTAAAATAATTTTTTTGAATTTTTTCTGAATTAAAAATAAAGACATAAAATGACCGAAAACGATAAAAAACAGACGAAAATTTATCCGATAAAATAAAATGAACACATTAAAATAAACCACATGTCACGGAGATTAAAGAAAAAAATATTCAAGAAGTCAAAAAATCAAAAATAAAATAATAATAAAAATATCAGACTAAACAGACGTTTAAGGTTAAAAACGAGACTTCGAACTGTACCGAAAAAATAAAGCGAGCATACCGTCATGATCTACGCGAAACGCAGATTCATAAAATGATCGGTAAAAGGTGAAAACTTGAAATATTTTCTCGCTAGTTTCCTGCATAGTGTCGAATCGCTTTTAACAGTCTGTCTATAAAACCAAAATATTTTTATTATTGACATATAAACAACTTGGAGCAATGCAACAAATGAGTAAATAGATAAAAATGCATGAAGCAAAATGCCGGGTATTTTACAACTGAAAGACGATGCAAACTTTGATTTAAACTGACTTTTTCTGATCAACTTAAATACGACTAATGATGCAAAATGTGATGAATGAAGATATTTACTAATGATCGTGACCAAATAACAAAATATGATATGAAAGTGCGACTAAAACATATTAGGGGAGAAATTAAGGGTGCAACGGTTGTGCCTTGATGATTCAGTCTTCGAGAATCCACAATCAACCGTACTTCGGGCTTGGGGGACTCAAAACCTTAATTGAGGCGCGACACCTGATGCTCTTGATTCAGACCTGTCTCTGCCCATGAAACAAAAGAAAACATGAACATACACCTTTGTATGCGATTAGAAATTAGTGATACATAGGCTAAAAATGTTCAAAACACTTGACAAACTTCGCATAGTCAATGCTTGAAGGTGAGAGATTAAAACCGACTGTATTTCGTGACCTTGGCTTATCTTTAAAAATGAAAAAAATAAAAATGGGATCTTAGGTCAAAAATTGGTGTACAACACCTGACAAAGGGAAAATGTTGTTTGGAGCGGCTTCTTTTCCTCGCCCAGCGAAACGGAAGCGAAGCAAGGTAGAAGCAATTGGAAAATTGATCCAACCTCTCTCCCCTATATTGCCCAGTGACACAGACACGGTTCTCCTAGCCTGAGCATCGCTCGGTGTTGCACACCAGAACAACAACTTTTGTTGCTTTCTCTACACAACTTCAAATGGCTTCCTCTATTGCCTTATTCCTTTATTCATCAATTGCACACATTGGAGCTTCATTTGGAATTTATTCTCAATGCTCCAATAATTCTTGAATACCTATAAAAATGAATACAAAACTATCAAACGATACACTATATACACGAAAACACAAATATATACAAACTAAATGAATTTACCGACAAAGCGAGGAATTAGTCACAAAATATTAACAAAGGCATTGATAGTGCAACAAAAAGTATATACAAAAATAACTATAATATGCACTTATAAAACTATCCCCAACTTGAACTTGTTTGTCCTCAAACAAGGCCAAACAAACTTAAAGAAGCAAAAGTAATCAATCAAAGAATCATGAATAAATAAGTTTTAAAAACGAAAACAAATGTATGGTTGATCGGATTACACTGAGGTATCTAATGATTCAGACTGCAAGTGCACAATCTTATCGTGTAGTTTTAAAAGATATCAAACTACAGCGACTGATGAATCGAACTACCGTCTTCTATTGTTACTATGAAAATATAAAGCTAATGAACGTTTGATTGGGTTGAAGGGAAACTAAATACTAAATTAAGTTTAATTTTAATTATCAGTAGCGGAACTACCAGTATGTAATGGTCGGACCTCGGGAACTAGAAACCGGTTGGGTGTCTTTGTATTTTCAAAACAACTTCCAGTAAAATCTATTTAGTTTAAAAGCCCTCGTCTCACACTGTCGTTTTATTGATCTAGGATATGCAGCTAAGTCATAACGTATGTTTCCGCCATCCCGCAGGAGTTAAAAACACTTTTTGAAAACAAAATAGACTCTTAATTAACTTTAAAGTGCTTCCGTTGTATTTTAAGCCAATGCCTAATTACTACTGTCCAGTTGAAAGATCTCAAACTTCCGCTTTGTTGATCCTAACCTCTATCCGTTCTATACTTTCGTAACAAAACAATTTATCGATTAAAAATAGTAACTTAGACCATAAAAAGGTTTTGTAGTAAAAATTACCCAATTGAGTCACTCGATCCCTTGGTTATGTGACCTTACATACCGGTATACGAATTCTAGCCTAGCATAATATCATACCAAATCACAGAACAATTCCAAAGACAAAACAAAATAAACATGATTATATTAATTAAAAGCAATAACAATTCATAAAAATAAACCTGAGGATAATAATTATGGATACAGGTACAATTACTTCTAACTCTTGACTAGAAGCACTCCTCCACAAGCTGTAGGCTTTGCTTTGATCAGGAATAGAGACAATCGTACAGAAAATAAATGCTAGAGGAAATATAAAATTTCAGGAAAAAAAAGAATAATGCTCTAAGAAAAATTTCATAAAGGAAATGAATTCTCAAAATATATCAAAAGTCCGACCCCCGGTTCATTGTGTCTAGGGTCCTATTTATAGCCCTTTGTGCGATACGTTGGTTTGAGAAAATGTAGGAACACTTTGAGTTCGTTTGAGAAATAATAGGACCATTGAGTTGGTTACATTCCCCATGTATTGAATGAGTGGAGCGGGGAAATGGGATGGCCGTTGGATTTGTGTTTGAACTGGTTCTCTTCTGTTGGATTTGCAGACTATGTGGTCAAAGAAGGAAAAGGTGGGCTTGTGACGTTCTTCAAGTCCAAGTGACGATGGTCACTTGGTCCCTTATGCTCGTGACGACTAGAAGTGTGCCTTGATGATCGTCAAGGCCCTTTTGGTAGTGGTCCACGTTCTCACGCCTTGTGATGGGCTTATACTTTCTTCTTCTTTTCTTCTTTGGCCCTTTTTCTATTTTTGCACCCTTTTTCTTCATTTCTTCTAAAGTCTTTAACTTAACATTTATCTGCAAAATAAGTGAATACCCGCCTAATACCTATATAAAATAATACAATTAAAATAAAATAAGGGATATAATTTATGTAAATCAAGCTAAAAATATCATATATTTGTGTGTTATCAAACTCCCCCATACTTGAACTTTACTTGTCATCAAGCAAATGCTCGGTACGATGTTTTTCTAAACATGGTCAGATGCACATACATGCCTCGAATCAACTCATATACGGCTGCATTGTGTTTTTGTCAGAAAATTGAAAGCTTGATTCATACTCCATTACTACGGTAATGACACTAGATAATCCCATTTTACGTAAACTAGTTACAGATGCTATGATAGCCTACCTCGAGTATTTGTCTCGTTCCGTCCCTTTCATTCTAGCGCAATCACATTAAGCCCTTTATCCTTGAACGCACATAGCAGAACAACCGGTTAGTGGTTATGATCCCTTTTTTAGCACTTAGGTTTCTGGAACAATAATGTGGCAACCTTTTTCTATCCATGGCAAGATGCGGGGGATCCGACCGTAATCTTCCCTACCAAGTTCAGTACCAGACACTCCTAAACCATCTACCGAAGGATTTTCAATGTTACTTTATAAGGCTTACATCCTTTGGATTAAACGATCGGGTAAGGATCGCCCAATTTAATTGGTGTATTACCTATCTTCTTAAAGCATGTAACATTTTCATGAAATAATAAATTAGATCATCCACTTATATTCATCGACTTCCTGCGTAGTTTGTGTTTAAGACGGTGCTGGCTGCTAATATAAACTACTCAGGGTTACTACAAAAACTAAAACTCAGGGTTTTGGAATAACAGGTATTTGAACTAGTCTATCATACTCTGGGGTTGTAGAATGTCTAGACGGTAGTAATTTCGCTTAATCTTGCCAAAATCCCTAACTATTAAAGATCTTGCAGCCTATGTACTTGTCAAGTGAATCAAGTTATGCATAAACAATTTTGATAGGGCTCAAAAAGATAGGGGAATCGGAAAAACAACACAAATGCTTCAATAGATAACTTGATAACAAATTTTTTTTTATTGAATTAGAAATGACAGAAGGGAAATTACAAAGAAAATAAAAATTACTGGGAAAGGGAAATACTTCCTCCCCCATACTTGAATCATACAATGTCCTCAATGTATTGACATAAGATGAAAAAGGGAA